GAGATCAGTTAAAAGAGCTTCTACTGTAATGAGTGCATATAATTAAGGAGAATGAAATAAAACAGCCTTGATCCGTCTACTTTTGCTATCCTGTCTTTTTCCCATGGATTAGACAGAAGAAATTCTACAAGGAATGGAGTTCAAGATCATCCTTCTCAGGGTCATTTGATTTGCCCTGAAATATTAACCCTCTTGAGGAAAATCTGCAAATGAGGATAAATTGGAGTCCTGTCGAAGGGCAAACTATCTTATATATCCTTTGGCTTAATCCATAAAATGAGTTGGAAAGGTGGCAGAAGAGATGAAACAAAATCTGCCTTTTGTACCACGATGGAACTGATTTAATTTCAGTAAAGAGATTTATTCCATTATTGCCAATTTTCTTTTTTGCCTTTTTGAGGAAGTACTAAACATCACACATATAAGCACTACAGGAGAAAAAAAGCAGGTGGGAGTTCAAAACAGGACCTGAGACACGCCCTCCAAGATCTATGCCAAGTAGGCTGTAACAAATCTGAGTCTCAGTCACCATCTTACCTGCCCCAGTCAATGAAGCCTTCAGGTTTTTGAGTATTTCGGGTTGCTAATTATTAGAAGAGTTAAGAAGAATATACAGCCACCTTTTCAAAAAATCAGCCAACTGATGTCTTTGGTCTGCTATTTTGGGCAATGATTTGCAGAAACATCACCCATTAAGGGAAACCTGTTTCTCCCTCTTTTACTTGGACTCAATTCTAGAGTACCTAGAAAGATCATATCCGTCCCTTTCTCTCATCTGCTATGCCTGCAGGGCTGTGACAGCCCTTTCTGATAAGAAATTGTCAAATTTCCTTTATAGCTGAAACTAGAAAACCAAACGAGGCAGAAACTGGCTTTTAGCAGAACAGAGCCATTAAATGTTTATACTTTTCTATATGTAGATTCAGCTAGGAGGGGCAGTTTGGATCTTCTGAAAGGTCACTCCTCACAGCCTATGCAAATCAACTCGAGTATTCTCTTTATTTTTTCAGAAGCCCTTATGATACTTTCTTCTTTTACATCAGTAATCACAGACTGTGACTCAGGTCCAGCCATATAAATATCTTATTGACTGAGTTTTATAAAGAATTCCTCCAAAGTGCATGGCCACCTCACTAATATCTGGACCCCAACTATGGCTATGAGCCAGGCTCTGAGCTGGCCACAGATTGGTCAGCACTTGCTCTCAACAGTTTTTTTTTCCAGCACTGTTTTTGATGGGACCGACTGTTCATTTTAACAGTCATTATTTGAACACAAAAGAAGCTTGTGATAGCCACTCTCCTCCTTTTACTTCAGACCACCTGATTTTCCATGTGGGAGTGCACAGATCAGCAACAGAAGTACCTGCATTTACATTTTTCATAGATAATGAGTCCAAGCACCTCACGTACATTGGATGTGCTCCCTCATCTTATTTATCACCTCCTCTACAACTCTTACCTTCCCAACAATGACATTGAGCTAATGGTGAAGAATGTCGAGTTACTGAATATTTTTCTAACTGGAATCTTCTCAAGCCCTGTTAAGTGGGGGGCCCCAGAGAGGTACCTCGGTGTCAGAGCTGTTGCCATTCAGAGCCTCGATGTTTGGGTCCCTCCAGTCTTCTGAGAGTGAAGGGATGTAATTGTCTGTCAGAGCATCCCAAACCCTGTAAACAAAGAGAAGCTCTCATTAGCACACATCTGTGGCTTGGCCCCGCCTGGAGGAAGGAAGAGCTGGGCCAGGGGAGGAGAGAGGCTTCTGTGTGTGCCAGGCTGAGATCATCTGCCGTCCAGCATGCAGGAGCAAAGCAGCTTCGAAACTAAACAAGGCAGGACCAGGACAGAAAAAGCCAAGAGAATGGACCCTGCAGGAATTTCTAGTGTAACAGGTGTTTGCTTCAGAGACGAGAAATTTCTCATCGTTGAGATACAAATGGTAAAGTCTGCAATCAAACCACCTCTGGCAATAAATAAATTGTCCCAGAAAATAAATATTCTCCTCAACCAAATAGTTCATGAACCTAAGAAATGCCCCTGTTCCTTTCCTAAGGGCAGAGAAGAGTGAGATAAAGAGATGATAGAGGTAGAGGTAGATGTAGAGGTAAAGGTAGAGGTAGAGACATAGATAGATCTAGATAAAGCTCTGGGGAGGTTTTCTGGCTGGATCTCATTAAGGTCAGGGTCATCATCTAGTGCCAACATTGTTAATGCTTACTTATTACTCAGAATATTTAGTGAGCTCACAGGTGGCACAATCCTGCCCTCTAACAATGTGGAATCTAAGTATGCTGTGTATCCACCATAGATCCTCTGAGGCAAATACATAAAAGGGACCAATAAATACACCTCTGTCTACACAATTACTTTTCAGTGGGGAAAGATGGGGCTCCCTTTATTACGTTTTTCTTTAAAATTCTGATATATCCATTATAAGAAAGAATTTTCTACAATTCTTTTTGCTTAACTCACTTATTTTAGAAAGATTTCCTTGGAGTTTGGGGTGAGAGGGGGGAAGAATCATGAAGTCACAAACTCTCACACACAGGAAAATAAATAAAGTTAGTCAACATCAAGAGATAATTGTAAATCAGCAAACCAAGCTCCTAAAATAATGCTATCCATGTAAGCCAACAGCATTTGAATGAATATTAAATAATGATAAATGAGGGCTCTATGCAATCTCCTTTGGATGCCTTTGCATGTCAAACATGAGTGATACCTATGAAACCAAGACATAGGAAGGTTTACTAATATAAGGAAATATCCATTTAAAAATAAGCAAATATATATACATATGAATCAAATTTAAAACATGACAAAATATGAGTTAAAATGCTGAAAAGATAAGTGCAAATTATATATAATTACATATCAATGTATATCAGAGCACAGATACTTGAAATCAAAATTAGACACATAAAATGAGGGAGAGAAGTGCTTTTAACACATATAAAATCAGGAATGATATGTGATATATGGGTACATAAGCAAAGAGATTTTCCTAGTGCACAATGCATACAATTTAAATTGGTGATGAAACAAAATAGACTCGAGAAAACATAATTTAATGGCAGTGCTTGGGTTATCTGCTTATTCATTATTTTCCTACAATTACAAGACAGCACTTTTTGAGACCCCATCAAGTGTTCATTAGACATCTATTCAGCAGATTTTCAGAGTCTACTTCTTAAACACGGGTGATAATCCAATCTCCATCAGGCACTATTAGAGCTTCATTAATTTAGCCTAATTCTAAATTCAAGTTTCACTTGCATTCTAAAGGCAAAAGGCAAATATGATTTGCTCTCTCCAAGATAGAACTCTAAGCACCACACTCACTAGAAAGGTCGGTGGATGACTCTTCCTTGCATCCCTGAATCACATTCTTTGTGAGAACGAACAACGTGCATGCAGGCACTGACCTTCAGATTTGTTCTTGCAGCACATATCTAGAAAATGAAATTCAGCAAAACCCAAAATAGGCAGGAGCCTTCTATACCTCTCTCCTAGGCAGGACGAAAGCTGGAAACTTTAATAGACTGCACACTTCCCAATGACCTTGAAACCGTTCAGATCCTTAAAGTAACAACTGGGGACTCTCTCAAATCTTTTAGGGAGTAGCAACTTTTCTCATCTGAGCCTTCACTGCCATACTGTGGATTTCATCTCCGTTAGTGACAATTCTCTAAACGTTTATCTTCTCAGGATTTCGAGCCTTCCCCGTTTTCTTTCAGGTTTTGTCCAGGTTTTCTTCCCTTCTGAGGTACTTTTTATCCTTTGAGGGTCATAAACAACTTTTAAGATAGAGCTACTCTCACCTCTTTCCAGTCACTTGCATATCCTTCCTGTACTTACTAGGTGCCCATTTAACGATAATAACAATAGCAGCCAATACTTAAAGAGCACTTAACATAAACCAAGCACTATTCTAAACTTTATGTGAACTAATTCCTTCACTCCCTAACTCTGTAGGGCAGAGACTAATGAGAAAAAAAACCCCTGAAATCTAGGGTTACTTCTCTACGTTCACACAGCCAGTAATGACAGAGTCAGGATTTGAACTCAGGCACCAGAGCTACAGAGCGTATATTCCTAACCACTTAACTCCTCCAATTCTTTTTTTTTTTCACTTTTTTAACTCCTCCAATTCTTGATAAATTTTATTATTCTGATGCATGAACATCAGAATAATATACCAAGTTCCAAATCACACCCTAGAACAGCAGTTCAGAAAGCGGCTCTGCATGAAAAATCTAAAACCGCATTGTTCTAAACAATGTGCTTTCATTAACATACGGAAGTCGGAATGGCCCAAGCCGCAGGGGCACACACTGCTTTCTGCTACTTCTCCATCCTAAGGAAGGTTAAATGGAAGGCAAAGGAAGAACACTGGGAGGCAGGCGGCCATAGGAAGGAGGATACGGTGGCGAGAGGGAAAACACAAAGCTTTCTGTGAAGAAAAGAGTGGATAGGGCTTTCCCCCCAGAGAGGCTATCTATCTGATTGTAATCAGGATCCTTGGGAATAGACATACTCCCTTTTATAGACAGGCACCCTGAGGTGGACTGTACACTTCCCTGAGAAGCATCCTATTTACTCTTACCTTGGGGAAAGAAGACTTTGAAAGCTATCTACCATATCTTTTATCAAAGAACTAAGATCGAAGAGGGTGCCTCGATTCCTGTCACTATGCTGCCATAGCACCCAAGATTCAATTTGCTCTCTCAGTCTCTGTAATAACAGAAAACGCTTTTCAGGTGCATATTTTATAGCTTGGGTTTAGATGCTTATAGAATTGACTAAATGATCTTTCACCAGAGAGGGCTAGGAATTTGGAAAGGATGCTGGATGAACAAAACAAACAGAATGGGTTGTGATAAGACACCTCTACAAAAATTCAGATCTGGAACTGGCAACATGGCCATCAAGGCTACATTAATCCTGCTACATGCTTACATGCATGCGCATGTGCGCACACACACACACACACACACCTATATACCTATTCCTGACAACATGGTAGGCAGTTTGCAGGGCTTATTAGAATTCCAGCTTGGTAACATTTCCCTTAATCCCCTATAGGCTGGCTACAGCCCTTGTCCCATGTTTCATTTGCCTCCAGTCGAGTCAATATCCACACTTAGACACTTTTGCAGTGAATATTTAAGAATTATTCATTATTAGCACATTAATGACTGAACAACTTTTTAAATTCTTTCAAATTCTTAAATAGAATTAATACTATCTCTGCCTTATATATGGGGAAACTGAACCTATAAGAAAAGAATTAACTTTCCTAAAAAAAAAAATCATAGTTATCCATCAGCTTTTCCATTCTGATTATTCGGTACTTACTTGTCTTCGATTTAAAGTGCTGACTCCAGGCAGTCTATTGTGTGAACTTTATTTTTAACATCACCTTTAACCCTATAATTCCATCTGAAGAACAGGAAACTGCCATTGTTCTCACATGTTTGGCCTCTCTGTCTCCAGGGCACTAGTAAGAGGCTTGATAGGGACCCCAAGGAGGCAGAAGGTCAGGTGAGAACTGTTCATTACCATTTTGTAGAGGCCCCGAAGAAGCTCTGGCCTCCAGGTCCAATCTCTTATGATAGAGGAAAGGGTGATACCACATAAGCAAAGAAGAGATTCTGAAATAGTTTCTAAACTTAAAAGCATAAGATGTACATTCAAGTTTAACACTGTTTGATGCCTAGAACTTTCATGCCCTGACCAGAGATAAACTGATAGCTCAGCCAATTTTGTATTAGCCAAACAGGTCCAAATGAGAACTAAAGAAATCAAAACTTCAAAGGGAATCACTGTGTTTGCTTTATGATTTGTGCAGTCTTCAAGGAGGTTAGTTTGACCAAGAATTTCATAGATTTTGTTTTATGCTTCTATCATTTAGCTCTAGCCCACCCAAAACATTTTCATGCGTGGATGAAATATCCCTCTAAATACTAAACCTAAGCAAGTGTATTAAATCCTAGAGCTTTGCTCAGGAGAACTACAATCAAGTTAGATATTAAATCATCCTTTTCCTTTACCTCATCATAATTTTACAGTTGAAATATCTGGATAGTTGTCTATAAAACAAAGTATGTAATTTAATTCTGATTTTTATTTTAAGTTGTAAAGCTTTAGACACACTGGCTGCCTAAAAAGTATAGTGTTAATTTCTCAATTCCCAGATTCTTCCCTCTATACTCTCCCCAAATCATACTTTATCTCTAAGTAATTATTCAACCTTTGGTCTTTTAGCTGAGACAGTCAATGAGGCAGGCAAGTCGGAAAAATCAGGATGAGAAGCCCAATAATCCCTTGTGATGGTAATTGACATTGAGTGGCCTCTGCTAATGTGCTGGAGAGAATAAGAACCTGCTCGCTGGGCCTTCACCCTTAATGAGGCAGAGGGGGTGTTAGATGGCGGAGAAATGATTTGTTGGAAGCAAAAGGAATAGGACACATCTTAAAATGTCATTTTCAGAGAGCAGCCTGGGTGAGGTAAGAAATTAGGTTCTTTGCAAGTCCTTAGTCCCGCTTCATCAAGATTAAGCTCTAGAGGTTTCAAAGATGAGGACCCACGCAGTCAGCTAGAGTTAAGTGACTAGCCCAAGGTCACACGGCGAGTTAGTGAGAGTATGAAAATTAGAATTCATAGCCTTTGTATTTTTAGTTCATTGCCTGGTGCAATGAACTAGAGTGAAAAAAAACCTCTGTATAATAAAGCCCCACAGTCATTCTTTTTTGACTTAAAGGAATTGAGCAAATTATAATGGTTTGATACTTAAAATGGAATCAGAACACACAGCCCACAGTGATAGTACTGGTCACCAGAATGAAATGTTCTCTATGATCATGCCTTCAGGCTAGCATTAATTAAAAAGAAAATAAGGAAATGGTGTGGACTTGGAAATACTTTACATGTACCTATAAGGCTGGCTATTATTGCTCATCCAATTCATTCAATATTCAATATTTCATTAAAAAAATATTATTTGATCACTTACTACACACCAAGCACTGTTTAGACAGTGAGGATATAGTAGTGAGTAAGTCAGGCAAATATACAGCCCTTTATTCACAGAGATACAGTCTTAGTTACCAAATTAGCAACTATCTGCCAAATGTGGTCAGATTTAATCCTCTAGGACACGCCTCTTACCAAACTTGTTTATGGTCAACTCTTCCCACTCTTATCCATTAAAAAAAAAAAAAAGTACCATTGCTCAAAACTTCCATTACCAACTATTTGACATTTCTTGTGTGATGCCTAAAGAACAATTGGTGGATATTTAATCTCTGTAGGGAATTCATTTGTATTTTTTACCAAACACCCAAACACCCTTCAATATATAACAAATTAGCCCCTTCTTCTCTTTCTAGTCCCTCCTCAAACAGCACTTTTCTCAGATCCCTTCTCTTGACTACCGTTCGGACCCAAGAAAGTGGCTAGTAAATGGCACAGGGAATCTGCACACTCAGAAGCCACTTCGCCCAGTTATCACCTTGATATTGTCCAGGCTCTCTGTTCAATCGGTATGCTTTCTTATTTGGACATAGCTTAACATTTCTAGATAATTTTCCAGTCCTGAGGGGTTGTGAACAATTTGGAAATGTTCACAATTCTGGTGTTTCTTGAAACAAATTATTCTGATGACATAGATTCCTCTGTCACCGTTAATTTTTTTTCTGGTTCTTATTTCTGATATCTAGGTGGATTACCACTGATGTAAAGAAAACTGAAGATAGACAGACCCCCAAATTTTCCATGCTCCTGAAATTCTATTTCATATCTAGGAAAACCTTTCTATTTCCTAAAAATCCTTCACTCCTTTAAGGTTTGAATTTAAGAAAGCTCTGCATTTGACTGTAAAGGGACATAACAGACAAATGTCAGCAATTACCAGTGCACTGCCCCATTGACATAACACTATAAGTAATAAGCCATGAACTTGTAGACAGAACCTAGTTCTATGTCAAGAAGCGCCAAGACTATAGGCTCTCGTCTGAAGCAGAAGAGGGCAATTAAGATTTCTTACTCTTCGTCTTGCAGGGTCTCTTCCTCCTCTTGGATCTGGAACTGGTTCTTCACAGGAGCAAGGTTCTCGGTCTTGGCGTTGTAGTTCCGAAAGCAGACATTGAGCTTCTCATCAAATTCATTCACGAGGTCCTCCATGGACTTGAAGCTGATTATTTCAGAAGAAAAATTCTCAAGCTCAGAGAGGGAGGGGTCCTCTAGTTGGTGGGGAGATGAGCCATAGAAACACCGTGGCTTCTCCTCATGTTCCTCCAAGCAGGAGGGCCGAAGGTCCTCAAACTCTTCATCCAAACTCACCAGTGGGGCCTCCATTCTTGCACAGCTGCAACTTTCAGGATTCGTTTATCTAGAAGAATAAACAAGGTAATGTGAGTTCGAACTGGGCTTTCGGTCCGAGGAAACGTAATCACATATTCCATTATCTCTGTCTCTCTAAAAACAAAGATTCTGCTTCACTGGCATCCATCACTTCTGCACTTCCTCATCATGTACTTAAAAAGTTCAAATAGCATTTGAGACACACCCGCTTCCAATTCCCTCCTCCAAAAAACAAAGTGCAGTGGTTAAGTGTACGGCCCCTGGACCAGACTGCCTAGGCTTGCATCCTGTTCTGCCTCTTACCAGCTGCAACCTTAGCAAAGTACTTAACTTCTCTGTGCTTCCTTTTATTCATCTCAGGATAGATATAATAACAGGACCTATCTCCAAGGGTTATCATGGGGTTAAAAGAGTAAACACAGGGAAGAGCTTAAAACAATGCCTGGCAGACAGTAACTATCAATATTGTTCAATATGTGTACACATCCTTAAGCTGGAAGTTTTTCATAACATATATGGGGGCAAAACCTAACCTGACATAAGCTCATTTGGCAACTAAACCTGATCTACATGAAATATAAAAGCTGCTTATGGTTTTAAGTTATCCCATTTAGTGTGTTTTGCTGGAGAAATATTAATTTTTTAAATTATAGAGATTGCTGCCCCAGCCTCCAGGGGAAGATATGCAGAATATGCACTCTCTTATTGCCTTCAAAATTTGAGATAATCTATATTCTGAAACATGCCTGGGTAGGAATTTGTGAACCTGGATATTACTACCTTCATCAATAAATACTAGACTAATAAAATACCAATAGAGACTTTCAAACAAGCCCCTGAGTTTTTTCCAGACACAGAGCATATGTCTGGGACTAGAGAAGTGAATTAAATGATCTATTATCCTGTAAGAGACAGACCCAGCTGTTACACGGCCAGAGTCCATAACAATCTTGGGCACTGCACCCTGGAGGGCTGCATACTCAGGCCTCCCTTCATTTCCCAACAGCTCCAGGCCCTCTTCAGACATTGTCTTCGACTGTGCTTTATCCATCTGTGTGTACCTCCAAGCCCTTGAATCTAAATTCCTCGAGGGCATAGACATCCTCTAAATATCCTCCACCACTCCCAGCACACACTGCCCTGTGGCTAGGCAATCAATCAATGTGTACTTACTGAAAAATTATCTTCTCACGCCACATACAGTTTCTCGTTTTCAAGTTCAGGCAGCACCAGCATCATTATCTATCACGTCCTTCTCTACACACAAAAGTTCCTTCCTCGTAACACAGAAAGACAACCCAACTTTTCTCTCCTGTCCGTGTGATTACTTATCCAGTTAGATGTTTTTAAATTGGAACCACCACCTGAGGACCAAACAGACAGCAAAAGCCATGGGTTTTGCCCTAGGAGTGCCATTCTCCATCTCCGCCTAAGTGAGGCAAAAGGTGTGCCAGGTGAGGATGGACAGCTCTTCCTGGGATTTTACTGGGATTAAATCAGTTAGCATAGCATCACATCAAAACATATTCTGAGTATTTACAACTTTCAAAGGCAACATAATAGGACCTACCTTAAAATATAAAAAGATATAAAAGCAGGATGATATCTTGGAAGGAACACAGGCTCAAGAGCCAACAGATCTGCCAATATCTGGCTCAGTGACAAGCATCGTGGGTCCTGATTACCTCATTTGTTAAAATGAAGGTGTTGGTATAGACCTAATACCTTTGGAAGTTAATTTTAATAGCATATTAATTTAATTAATATTTAATTATGATATATTTTAATATTATATTTTATTTAATTCAATACACCCAAAATATCACCATTTCAAAATGTAAAACATTCCATGTTTTAAAATATTAATGAGACATTTTACGTTTTTTTCCATAGTAAGGCTTTGAAATTCAGGGTGTATTTTACATTCACAGTATGTGTCCATTTGAATGAGCTGCCTTTCCAACACCCAATAGTCTCATGTAGCTAGCTGCTACCATATTGGACAGCGCAATTATAAAGCAATATACAACTACTTGTCAGTCAAGGATTCTTCACCTAGGGTCTACAGACTCCAAGTGTTCTTTAAAAATAACTGCATTTTATTTGATGATTTTAAAAACATATTAAGAGAAGGATCTCATAGATTTCTCTATGTTGTCAAAGGGGCCCATAGCACAAAAATGATTAGGAACCCCTGAGTGGCAAAGTGAGTTTAGAAAAGATCACAGAGTGCAATAGATAGTAAGGAAAGTTTTACAGACAAGGCCTTTGTGTTGTCGGAGATGAGACTCTGTGATGGTGAAGAGCCTGGACTCCAGGATCCGGTCCTGATCTTATCACTTTCTAGCTGGGAGATTTGGGCAAATGATCAGCCTCTTTGTGCTTCAGTTTTCTCATGTGTAAAATGGAATTTAGAATAGCACTTACATTGAAGGTTGCTTTGTGAAGTAAATGAGATCACCTTTGAAGTGCTAAACCCAATGTATGGAATATACAGTGTCCGATAAATGTCAATGATTTTAGGAAAACGAGGATAACTTAGTTACATGGAAATGTGGAGTAAGAGTGCTTCAAGTAAAAGAAAAACTACCCCTGCTTTGATATTCTATGTGCGATGCTTCAAAATGCTTATCGAATGAGAGAACTATTGCTAAATGAATTTTATCATCTTTTTTGCTAAAGCACCACTCCTGTTTTCAATTCCAAGCCTCTGGGACCATGGGTCCCATTTCAGAGAGATATGAAAGCTAAATAGTTGATGTTCCAAAAATGTGCACTTCTTTTAAATGTGCACTCTTTAGGAGATAAGGGGGCGCTGGGAGGAGAAGGAAATACCAAGGGCGCACTGATTTGAAAGAGCAACATCTATACTAATTAACCAGTAACAAGAAGGCGGTACAACCAGAGCCTAGGACTAAGATCAAGTTTGGAATGTTCGCAACAGGAAGATTATGCTGAAAACACCTATCCTCAGCCTAGGCAGGCCCTACAGATATGGATTCCTCTAGAAGATGATAGAAGAAGAAACAGATGTCACAGCTCTAGATTTCAGAAACATGATCATAATCCATAATAAAGCCTGATTTATTTTCATTAATGTACTACCTAGGAGCCAAGAAGCTCTGCATGAATGGCCAGCTGGAAATCGAAAGTCACTCAACACCCAAAATAAGCCCAGCATTTGTAGAAAAATCCCAGGCTGCGGTAGAAAAATCCCAGGCTGCGGTAGAGAAAGCCAGGCATTCCAACTGGCCCTACCATGGCCTTGAGGAGGGTCTCTGGGTTGGGGCTGGCAGCCTTTCTTGAAATGATGCCCTCTCTCTCCTTCCTTCAGCTCACTTTCTTTTGCTCTTCTCTATTAGTGGGATGCCTTTGCCCCCCAGCTGAAATGTCCTACTCTTGCACCCTGGTAAGCTCGCCCCTATCTTCATTCACAGCTCTCCTCCCCTTAAAAGCTAGAGTTAATGGAATGGATAGCTTATCCTCTTTCTCTATACTTTCAAAATCGATTTTTAAAAAATATGTAAAGAATGGCAGAAAGAAGGAACCATAGAAGGGTTGTCTTGTCTTTTTCTCTTTATCATAGAACAGAATGCAGGACTATAGTTCAATTATGTCCTATAACCTATTCCATTTATTTGGGCTCCCAATAGATGGTGTAATCGGAACAAGAAAAGGCACCACGGAGCTTAACAGAGGCCCGGTAGGAAACACATAAACCTCTTGTGCGGCATAATGATGTACTAGCCACAGCTTGGGGCTGCAGTACAAATTTCCAGTCCTTGCTTTGCTGAGCAGAGTAGACTGGAGCAGATCAGCAAAGAATTCACCATGCCTCCACAGACGCCCCATGACATCTTCCCCTTCTTCCCATTACTCGCCCCATAGATCAGCTGATACTGTGTGCGCCCACCACCATCCCTAGAACCTGCCCTCCGCTACTCAGCAAAACCCAGTCAGTATACATGATTGTGCCAGCTTCACATTTGGACAGAAAGAGAGTATTTCATTTGCATGTAAACCAACAATCCCTTTGCAGTTCTACTTCCTCCTGTTTCCCCTCCGCCTGCTGCTCCATTCACCCTCATCGCACATTCCCCCCACCCTCCGCCTCTGCGCTGTTGGGGTAAAGAAAGGCTCCTGAAGCAGCACAATGGCTGGCGAGCCAAGAAAGCTGGGCTCATCCCGCGGGCCGCACACAGACTCCATCGCCCTTGTGGCCAAATAAGACCGGGACACCGGAGTGGGAAGGGGGCTTAGAGGTGTGCGGCGAGGAGGGAAGGGATAGGCAAGAGGGAAGAGAGGGCTGTGATAATAGCCTCCAGTTCGGGCTCTGTCCAGCGTTGCGCGCGGAGCTCCAGAGGCCCTGAGCCCACAGCAGGCGGCGCGCCCCCCACCACACTCGTCCTTTCTCCGACCTGTTCTGTGGTCCAACAATCGCTCCCCAGCGTCGGCGGCAGTAGCCAGGGTGCTGACCTTGCAGGAATG